ATGTATGTATGTATGGGTGTATGTATGGGTGTATGTATGGGTGTATGTATGTATGTATGTATGTAGGTATGTAGGTATGTAGGTATGTATGTACGTATGTCTGTGTGTGTGTGCACGTACATATGTATGTATCTATCTAACTATCTATGTATCTATGTATCTGTGTATGCATGTGTTTATATATATAAATATAAATATAAATAAATATAAATATAAATAAATATAAATATACATACATATATATATATACATATACATACATATATATATATATCGGGTAGAAGGTTTAGCGTACAAGTTCAGGGTATGAGGTTCAGGATTTTCGGTTTAGGGTTTTGGGTTTAAACCCCCTTTGTCCTGTTGCAATCATATGGTGTTTTAAGCCTTAAACCGTGAACCCTCACCCCTCAACCTTATCAACAACCCTAAACCCTATAAGCCTTTTCGTACTCCATCGCACTCCACCACATCGTGCACTTACACCACCCAATGACCCTCTCGACCCGCCATACCCCATGCACCCACCCAACCCCCTACCCCAAAACAACCCATCCCATCTTACCCATGCCACCCAGACCCCGCCCCTGCATCCCAACCCCACCCCATGCACCCGACCATCCATACTCACTGCCATCCATGTGTGTATGTATACATATATATAGATAGATAGATAGATAGATAGATATATATATATATATAGATACATATACATATATATATAGATATATATATATACATATACTTGTATATATATGTACACAGACATGCATGCGTACAGGTATATGCTGCATATTTATAAGCAGATAAATAAAACATAGTATGTATATATGTGTGTATATATATATATATATAGCTATACTTAGCTCTTACGAAATTTGGTGCGTTGATTTCGTGCTAAGTTTGTACATTTGTCATACAGAATTTGATCCGATTGCTGGCACATTTGGCATTTCGAACAAATTTTCGGCCACCACTATACTTCAAAATGCTGTTCGATTGATGAGTTTTTGCACTGCCCCTGACCGCAAAATGGTGCCCGCTAGACCCGGAGATGCGTGCTCGCTAAATCCCCAATAAGTCCATTATAAGTCCAACTCATAAGTCGTCAAAACCCCACTTATAAGTCCAAGTTTTCTCGAATTAACAAGACCTTTTTTGACTCAAGTTACAACTGACCAAGCCAAAAACCCACCATAGCTGGGCGGGAAAGCCGTGACACGACGCCAGATGGAGATCTCCATTGAGCGCTAACACATGTTGTATCGCCACCAGCTCTATTACAATACAACCCTGTGTCTGCAGTAGGTGGTCCGGCCCGCTGGTCCTGTTGCTGGTCACTTGTGCAGGTGGTCCCGTCGTCGTCTAAATTGTGCCTGGTCGTGGTCTCGCTGGTGGTGGCCGGGTGGTGCCGGTTCGGGACCTGTCATGCGATGAGTGGTTGCTAGGATGAATCGCACGCAGAAGCAAAAGCAAGGGTGCATTGCTATTGGGCATTCGTCTGAGTGGATTTAAAGATGGGACCCATTCGTTCGACCAGAGTTTGACCATCGCATGTGACTTTTGCTGCAAGAGGGAAAGCACACACTCAACGCACAAACCATGCTATACTCCTCACCCCAAGACCGCCAACCTTTTGAATTTCTGTTACGCAGCTGCCCGAACACTCTGCCCCAGAAAGCCCCGCATGCCAGCCAGAATCGTGTCTGCAGGCATTTGTGCATCTAATTTCCGGCTGTCTCTGAGCTGCAAAAAAGACACGCATTCTTCGCTCTTGCTTTGGTTGACATGGCGAACATACTTTGCTTAGAAGATTGCTGCACCTGCTGTTGCGCTTTCAACCGAGTTATAACGCAGGTAGGGGTTCTCGAGGTCCCTCGAAATCTCCGACTTTCTTGGTTTACCTGCAACCAAGCCACAGCAGTGTGCTTGTCAGTGTGCCGGCGGCCGTGTTTTCGTTGAGAAAATTGGTCAGCCGTTGTATTGGGATGAACTCGGTAGGATGGCGCTGTCGCATAGCTGGCTTGCAGAGGCTTGACGTTCAAAACCGGCTTACGGTTTGTCTTCTTTGGGGTACGTCCTTAAGCAATGTAGGTTGTTTGGGGTTAAGGTATAGGGTTTAGGGGTTTAGTTTTTTAGGGTTTTAGGGTTTAGGGTTGGCGATCCCAACCCCAATCTGAAGCTACATTCCGAAGCTGTTGTGAAGAAAGACTCCAGCATCGTTGGTTGATCTTATTGGCCAAAGATCCTTGAATGCCGAGGAAAATGGCTGGGAGCGGGGCGACCTGGAAAGAGCCTGGCATGAGCACTGGACGCCGCTCGGAATGCAGCAAGGTCGCAGGGAAGACATCGAAGACAGCAATGATGTGTTTTGATTGTAAAGGCCTCGATACGAACAAGGCTTGAGGAAACCAAGGCTGCCAGATGTGTTTTGATGCGAAACCGTTGATAGAATTTGAAGTTGTGACTTTTTTCTCTTCGACGAATTTTTTTCCTACCTACCCCACCTACGCCGCCTACCTCCACTACCCTACCTGCCCCACCTACCAGCTACCCTCACCTACCCCTAACCAACCCAGGAGTGAATCCAGCAGGAACCTTTTGAAAACACCAAAACCGTGAGGAGTGAATCCAGGAGAAACCTTTTCCCGAAGACAAGAAAAACCCTAAGGAGTGGATCCAGCGATAACTTTTTACCCAAGACGAAAACCCTAAATGAACCTTGCGTGGCTGCTTTGGTGCGAAATACAACACCAGAGTTATGGTCTAGTGCTAAATACGCTAGAAAAGGTTAACACCCCATAAAAAGTTAGTGGCTTGGTGCTAAAGACACCCAAAAAGTTACAACTAAGACGCATGTTTTGCCACTCTGTGCAGAGATTTGCTGTTTTGGGAGCCGAAACAAAGCTACAACTCATTTATTTTGCTGAAGAAGCTGGAAAGCTACATGTAAGAGAAAAAAAGTCACAACTAAGTGTTCTACCATTTGTGGCGAACACACCGACATTGTGAGGGAGAGAAAGAGAGACAAAGAGGGATTGCAAGAATCACTGTTGAATTCCGGGAGAAATGGCCCATAACAGCTTATTTAATTCAGCTTCGAGATGAAAAATTGCAAATGCTTCGAGGAAATAGTGTGTTCACGGAGTTCAGTTTGGGGCGAGGCGGTGGCCAGGCACTCGAATCTCGGGTTCTGGGGAATAAAACTGTGGAAGGCAAGTGATCAACTTTTGTCATGCCCTCTCAAACCAGCCTACCTGGTACCAACAGAACTGGCATGGCTGAAAGTGTGCCGCACATTGGTTTGAAGCTTGTACCGCCTGCAACTGCCAGGACCGTTGTACGGCTACGGAGTCTACTGCGCCGATGCTGAGCTCAAGTTCAGAGTTGCGACGGACCGTGGACCGTCGAGATTCTGTAGATTCTCGTGTTGGATCCACCGTGGCTATCCTGACTCTTTTGGAAGGATGAAGTGGGGCCAGCAGCAATACTTGAATCTACGACGTGCTAGCCAGTGGACCCGTTCGGGCTTGAGGGCGTTTGGATTTTGCAAAGCTTTGCAATGTTGCAATGCTGTTCGAGGAGATTTGCATGCCTGGCGCCTCTCCGGCACGACGTCCGCCATCGCAAATTCTACTTGCCCAATGTTTCTACTGAATAACTTGGCCCAAGAACCGTAAGGCTTTTTTCGTGCTGCAGAGGAGCAGTCCCTGCAGTAACATTGTGGAAGGTGTGAACAAAAATACTTTCTGTTGGTCATCGCCTGCAGCACTCCACTCGTCTGGCTCGTCCGACAAGTTGGATGCATCTTCGTTGGATCGGCTTGCCGGTGAAGCGATTCGAGGGCTCATGCAAACTTGAGCCAGCACGCCAAGGAGAGCTCCACCAAGGCCGACGAGTATGCCGAGGATGCTGCAGGGCCTCCCTTCACACCGGGATCAGAACTGCAGTTGCAAGTTTGGGATGCCTAGCAGGCCGTGCCTCTATCGAGCACAGTGAGAAACCCGCACGCTGGAGCAGTTCTTTGCTGAGCCAGTGCGAGGAGATCCGAGGCGGGCTGCCCAGCGGCGAAGGCCTCGGTTTACTCAACCCCAGCAAAATTCTTTGCCCGAAGCGGCCGCTCTGTTGGGTCCTCCGGTTTCTTTCAAGCTGTCTCGTTTATGGGTCACCTCCCATGTATTCACTCCAATCTTTTTGTTGTTAGTCGTGCGCTTGCCTCTCGGGTACGGAATGCTTTGTCAACTCTACCAGTTATTAGTGAACTTGATTTCATGTTGTTGCTCTTCTTATGAAAGCTGTTTTCCGAAGACAGGACCGTCAAGTCTGAAAGAGAAAACGTCTGCAGACCCTACTCATGGAAGGGTTTCCGATACACTTGCAGGACAGGTTTTTCAAGCTGAGGCCAAGATATATTGTTCCTTGATCAAGGGAGCGATAACAGCCCAACCGGGAAGTCACGCTACTGTCATGCAGCGCTGTCGACTTCAATGCGTAGCGCCAACCGCCTCTGCACCCGGAACTAGCAGGATGTGCAGGAGCCCAGCTCACAGCCCAACCGTGCATGCTATGCCCGATTGGGTCCGACATGTACCTGGGTCAGCAGGCCGTCCCAACCTGAGACCCCATCCCGATCATCTGAACTCATTGGGGCGAAGTTGAACGATTATGACAGGTTGCCATGCCATGCTTGTGTGCCGTGTTGTGGGCGGCCTTTGTCGCATCGTGGACCCTTTGTTGCAAATTCCGGTGCTGCGCCACTTCCAGTTATGTTTCTGGTCTGGGACCCACTTCAGTTGTGGATTTGCTTGGCCGTGTCACGCGCCTGTACAATCACCTAAGATGGCCTGAAGAGCTTCGCGGCTTCGACCCGCGCGCAGAATTTCGGAGCAGAGATTGCGGGTACAAAATTGGAACATCTTTAGTTGCACGAACGCTGTAAGGACACGAATGAGTTTGACCCAGACGACTTGCCAATGCCTCAGCTGCATTCTTGCGAGTGCGACTAAATATCTTCGGCACATGGCTCCTTGTGCTTGCGCCATCAGTCCAGTCGAAGTCCTGCTGTTGTTACAAAGCGGGCCTAAAGACTCAATAAGTCTGCTCGTGAGTTATCAGTGTCGCAGTGCAAAAGAAGTGGCTGCGAGCATGGCCCATGACTTGAACACTTATGAGAACACTGGCAGTTGTCGTTCGAGGGGTCCAACGCGATCCGACGTTTGCGGTAACCAGGTGAAGCCTTGTTTTTCATAGATCTCCAGCGATACCAGTCGTAGGCCTCAACCCCTCTCGCCAACGCTGGCAGTATCAGGGGTATATCATCCAGGCCAGCATCATGACCCGAGTTTGACAGCCTTCCTCTCGATGTTTGTCAGGTCTTGGAGAGAGGTTTCTGAATTCTACACGTCTCGCGCACATACTCATGCACCCTCTTCGGATCCAAGGCGGCAGGATGTGCTGGATGGCCCGTACCATTCCGTACTTGGTGATCGTGTTGTGAAGCTGAAGATGCCCGTCGCGCAAGAAGTGTTGCTTTTCGCTCAGTGCACATCTAAGCGTCCAGAAGTAAAGCCGCAGGCAACACCACCAACAACCAATCACGCACGAAACCACTTGGCTTGAGACCAGCTGGCTGCATTTGGTCATGACAGTGCTGCCATGTGAGTCGGATACACCACATGAGTTGCACAGTGGCACAGTGAAACATGCATTCATCTCCCTGCATACAGTTCCCGATGATTGTTGCTGGACCTGGCGTGCATCAGTCAGGAAGCCATTCCGAGAGATCGTTGCTGGGTGCTCGGGTGATGCGCCCTGTGCGTTGCAAGAGCTTCTTGCTACTGTCCACTTCCTGGAACGGGTCTTGGATGAAAGTCCTAGCAACTGCTAATGCGCCTTGCTTTTCGCTAAGAGGTCTGCAAAATGGATCCAGCCGATCTTGCCGGCCGGGCAGTCACCAGCATGCGAAAAGAAGCGGCACTTCAGGTCCATGACAACAACCAGATCTTCCCAGAGTTCATTCTGTACTACAAGAGGCTCACCACTAAGCATGAGCGCCCCTTCCTTTTGATTTTCTGATTGAGCTCGTGGACAGATGAAATACCAACAAACCCCTACCCGCAGAAACTGCGCAGCAGCTTGCCTGCCTGGGACGTTTTCTTGTCTTTTGTGCCCCCCCCTTGATGAGCCCTGACTGTACGACTCAGGCTGGGCATTCCAGAGTGAGCTGCGACAGCATTACTATGCAGAGCTGCAGTAGCCTCATGTCCAGTGTCCGCTCGTGCCGCCGAAAATTTGAGCGAGGCCAGCAGGGGAGTTCGCGTAAGCTGCATTCGCAAAGCGAGGGAGCAAAATGCCTCGCAAGCTGGAAAACTAGAAGATGTAGAGAAAGGGTTGAAAAGGGATGCTGCCTGTTCTGCGACATCTTGTGGGGGCGGCCACACAGGCAGGCAGGCCTTCTGCGACGCGAATTGACTTCTTGCTAAGGCTGACACGCATGGTGATTCGCATGCTGCTTTGAAACTCATGCCACTTTTCCAAGACGGGTAAATTGCATGGTGAGCTGCAGAGCCAAATAAACCGAAGCCGAGGCGTGGACAGTCTTGGCCATGCTTTCATGAGCCTTCTGACCACTTGCTAAACATCGCTTGTGCCAACCCACATGTCGATCCTGAAGCTGACAGCAGTCAAATGGTGATGGTCTTGACATGCACCAAGGCAACAAATGATGATGGGAGGTATGATGCCCGGACTAATGCCCTCGCCTTATCTGACAAGGGAGTTGTCACGTATCTTGTACTCCCGGACGTGTATTTGCGTAGCCCATCATTGTAGATCAAGAAGCTGGTGCTGCTTGAAACTTGTTTCCAGTGCACAGGTACGAATATACAAACCTTCCCATGGCGCAAAGAAAGTCTCGAGTCTGTCGGAACGGTACTTGTCAGGCCTGGGATGCCAGGACTTCCTGGAATGCTGCAGGCTCAGAACCAGACTTTGGAACGCGTGATCCGGTGGTCGAAAGGCAGACGCACTTAAAGAGCTCGGTCCATGTGCTTTGCAAGTGCCGTTCAGGACTCATGCAACATCAAACATCAGGTCAGGACTTCCAAGAGATGAAAAAACCGCAGAATGTATCGAGAATTGCGACTTTGATCAACCTTCGAGAGAAGTCACGGTGTGCAGCGGCTTGCAGTTCATGTCGCACACGAAACGGAGAAAAAGCGGTCGAAGAAGTCGCTGTGTCTCGACCATTCAGCTTCCTAGTCAGGCACAGGACTGCTGGAAAGCATGATGTTCATGACCTGAAAAGCGGCAGGTGGCTGCTCTACTTCTTACGACTTACTGCTTACTACTAGTACTTGCTGCTTACCGCTTGCTACTTGCTACTGGCTACTTGCTACTACTTGCCGTCTCGACGACGACGACGACGACGTCGATGACTACTACTGCTTCTGCTTCTGCTTCTGCTACTGCTACTGCTACTACTACTACTACTACTACTACTACTACTTCTACTACTACTGCTACTACTGCTACTACTACTACTACTACTTCTACTTCTACTTCTTCTACTATCACTACTACTACCGCTCCTGCTACCACAACTACAGTTCCAGTACCAGTACCAGTGCTTGTACCAGTACGAGTACCAGTACCAGTACAAGTACGTACTAGTGCGACTACCATTGACACGGATGCCGACGCGAGCCAATAGTATCAACGGTGCTCTAGGGTGCTGATTCCAGAATATCACGCATTCCACCTCAGGCCGGCCATTTCGGAGCAGCAGACCACGCCAGCAGCAGAAAAGCTGAGAGCCTCACAGCCAGCTGTGGCCCAGGCTGCGAACTTCGTTTTAAGGGTAGACGAGTGGCTGCTGAGGCGTAGAGGTTTTTGGAATTCAGGATGTTGGAGTTGTAGCTTGTCCGCCCTCCAGAGTGTACTTGGGGGTCATTCCATGCGACGCCTGAATCTTTATGATGAGCCGTGGTGTTCTTCGTGATGTTCATGCTCCGGCATCGGGGTTGAACTCCTACTCGTGCGAAGGCTGCGAGCCAACACTCCGGTTCAGAGAGCTGATTCAAGCACCATCCAACCCCAGTTTCAAGCACCATGTTCCATCACCAGCTTTCTCACGCAACATCACATCCCGGTGCTTTAAGGAGGCACTTAACCAACCTAAGGTCTCTACATCAAGCACATTCTTGTACTCTAGCATATACAGTGGCTTCTCCTTTCGGGTTCACTGGTTTGCCAACCTATTTATCCTTCGAGGGCCCCTTCAATGCATCCGCAGCATTCGTGATTCGTCAGTGCTTCACAGCTGCATGGAGGCAGCCGAACCGGAAGCGCTGCCGTCTGCGCCAGAGGCAGTCATGACTGTAGGTCTGCACTTGTTTGGAGGCATCGTTTAAAAAAGCTTAAATCATGCATGATCGGCCTCTAGGTCAAGGAGACGCATGCTTGTGCCAAGGGCCATTGCTGATAGTGTTTCGGATCCTATGCTGTGCTTACTCGGCTTAACCATTGGGAGTTCTTGTCGGCAGACCTCACGCCGCCCTGATGGCGTCATGTGTTTTGAAAATGCCGGGTGAGGGAGAGACTAGATATGATATCCAATGGTGCCACACGAATATATGAGCATGTAGCTGACTAGCAGCTTCGAGCCCTCAGAAATCAAGGATTTGTGGTGCGAGGATGTCAAGGCCAAGCCCCACTCTTCTCCCTCAGCACTGTATCTGCAGTCCACTTGAGAGTGAACTTAGCCCAACTTCCCCATGGGTCTTCTGACTAGCACACCATCTCTGCTCCACCGCCCCCATCGTAAGGAAACCATGCTTGGGCAGGCTGCTCCAGTTGCGAAGGCGAAGGCCATGTCTTGCTTGTGTTGAAGCAGGTCATCCTGGTCCAATCCCCAGCCGACGGTCAGGAGCCACCACCTTCACTAAGCCAGCCAAAGAAAGAGGCTCGAAGAGAAGAGGTGTTCGTGACTGCATGTGTTCCCCCTCCTCGCATGTCACAGTGTGTACGCAGACGCCGCATCTGCCAGTAGCGAAAGGTGTTGGAGTGGCCTGCATGGCTTCGCTTCGGGGCACCATGCGCCTCGTCTGCAACGGCACAACATGTGATTTACAGAGATGATGTGACTAGAGATTCGTATCGGAATTGCCATGAGACTTGCCTATTGTTGCCGCCTGTTCGTTCCGCGCGAGTGCTGGCAGCATGCCATAAACATAGATGCTTGTGATTGGAATGTTTGTTCACACAGGTTCGGTTTGCGGCGATGCCAGCACAGCTGATGCCCAGCCCCACGGAGTGGCTTGATGCCCAGCATGCTTGACATGCCTTACTTTCGAAGCAGCGGCACCTCGCATTATGAGATGTCCAGATGCCGGTGCATAAGAATTGTGCGACCGAGATCTGCCGCCGACGGCGAAAGAACACAGTTGGTGGCTGTGGAAAGGGTGTTTGTTGGGCCGGGAAACCCAGATGAGAAGGATTTCCGAATTGAATTTGGAGAGACGGACCGTGCACTTATCCGTCAAATGAAAATTCAAGGCACTGTCCTTGCCTTGCCAGGACATGCTATGTCTTGACAGGTGAAAGAAGATATTGCAACTTTAGAAGTTGCAGCTTGTTCTTGGGGTCTACTGTCTATCGGCAACGGTCCCGTGCGACGGATCAGTTCATGATGTGCCAGGTTTGCATGGAAAGGGAGCCACGATCCAAGTTTGGCATGGTGCCTGGCTCGGACGGAAGCTACACCGGCCGCATGAAAACTGAGTGTAGATAGCTGCCCTTAGGAGGTCAAGTGTGCGACCAAGCATGGTATCTCTCAGCTATCAGGCCCATGATTAGGCGTAGCACGGTTCAGATCTGAAGCAGCGAGGTTCGAACGTCTTGCCGGCATGCTTGCTCTGTAGTTCGTAGCAATGCAAGAATATGCTCCACAGAAGCGAGCACTGTCCACATAACAGGTGCAAAGTTTGCAGGAGTGACATACGTAGGAGAACAATCGCATACACCACTATGCGTCATGCTTGGAGAAACATGACTGAAGGACTCGTTGAGAACATGTTCAATGACACACCAGGAACGAGCGTTGTTGGCAGGACGAGAGAAGAGTTCGAGTCGTTGGAGGAGTCTGCCTGGTGGATGCACGAAGCGCCCGGCACTCTACATAGACATACGTATACATACACATACATACATATACATGTGTATATATATATGTATATACATATGTATATATATATATATGTATATACATGTACAGATAAAGGAAGTCACAACACGGTGGACTAGAGCAATACCGTATGCGCATGTTCCCTTCATCATGCCATGCCCCGGCTTGCAGACTCGCCTTTACGAGCTGCAAAACGAGGTGTATGGAGCCGTCGGACTTACGCGCTTACTTCGGCGGTGAGAAGGACACTACATCAGGCTAGCCTTGTCATCCCACGGCATGCTCATGCAGCTCATGCAGCAGAACGCTACAGCCCGAAAGACGACTTTGCTGCTGTGGAACAGTCCTCTCCTGCCGGAATCACCCAGACTTAGTTATGACTACCAGCCTAAACAGAAGTGCACCCTGCATCTTAACCATGAGGAAATCGATGGGGTTCCCGTGCATGAGATAGACGAACAAGCGATGCTCGTGCTTATCCGACCACTGAACCCTTCTAGCCACAGTGGCGAGAATTGCAGGCGTCTGCCAAACAACGACAATCCTTCAGCTGCGACAGCCCGAGACTCGCGGCGAATCTTCAAATCAAAAGAAGGCACTGTGAATGAGAAAGCGATGAAAACAGCGAAGGGAGCTTCCGCTTGCAGTCAGGAGCTCGCAGAGGCACGAGCGGCAGCAGATGCTTCAGACACCGTCGTCACGCCCCAAGCGAACATGACGTGGTGGCTTTCTTCTGGGATCTCATTGCCACGGCTTCAGCACTGTTGGCGAAGGCTGCGTCATGGTTCATCATCTGCATCTGCAGCTGGTAGGCTTTCAGCGGAGAGTTTACAAGTGCAGCCCAATGCGATCACAGAGCACAGCCTCGTCGTCCTGCTCGAACTAATCTGGTTCTTTCTGCTTTGGGTTGTTGCCCCAACTTGACGCATTACATCTCAGCTCCTGCGTTTTTTGTTGCGGCTGAGGCTTCAGCAGCTTCCCGAAACGAGTAATGAATTGGGCAGGGTCCTATCAGAACTATGCACTGTGGCAGGCGTAGATTGGAAGATGACGAGTCCACTTGCCAACACCCGTAGCTTTTGTCTTCTCAAGCATGCCAATCAAGCCCAGGCGATCAATCACAGGCGAGCAAGATTTAAACCTTTGGAACGAATGACAGGTTCTGGCGTTGCGAACGCGGAAGATGTAGCACTTTTTCGTTTCGAGCCCAATGCGCCCGCGTACAGCACGTTCATGTCTGGGTCTTATGCCATGCTCGTGCATCTATGATCCAAAACACATGCACTGCAGAAAAGCTTCTGAAACGAGAGAAGTCAACACGGCTGCTTTACAATGGTCCAGAAGACCAGGAGGTTTCACACCCGTCTTATCTCCGTTTGACCGATCGAGTTGTGAAACTTAGTGCAGAACGTCAGCTGTCTGGGTCAGCGTGACTGTGCAGAGTTGCGCAGTGATTTCAAGGCTCTCGAGTTAGGCTTGGCCTCACTGCTCACTTGTGGTTCCTCCGAACTATGTCGGGGTTCTGCGATTGCGGTATCTATGGTTGGCAACTCGGGTGATGATGCCCGTTGTGCGATCTAGAACGGCGACTACGTTTGTGCGGATAGCCTCGTTGAGAAGATGAAGTTTCATGGATTTGTGAGGCAAGCTGCTAGTCGCAGATGTGTCGCTATCCAACGCAGCATGTCGCCACAAGGCGAGAAAATTTCGTGGCTAAGCACGTCGTCCTCCCCACAGGGGTCTGGCGTAGGCCAGCAAGTTCGATGGACAACCTCGTACCTCCTACCTGCTTGGGTACAGGAGACAAAAGGTGGTCTGTGAGTGATCTGCAACCACTATACTGCATATGGAGCATGCTACGCCAGGCTACTTCTTCCCACTGCCCTCTGACTGGCAGCTTTCCTTGAATTTCCAAGACGCTCGCCCGTAGGTGTTCCTCGTGCTCCATTGCGTGCTGGACTGAATACGCCTCGCACTGGAGGGTCGCTCGACATACCCGCTCATCGTGGATGAGCTGCATGAGATGACGTGCATATCGTGGGTGTTGGCCTTCGAGTTCATGGATCAGGTAGTGAAGTCGTCCGCGTTGGGACTTGCGTTCGACATCGCCTGCGAACGAGGCGTCGCAAAAGGCAACAAGCACTACCTCTCCGTGCACTTGTAGGAGAACCACGTTTGCAGTTGTATGTGGCATGACATGTGCGCTGGCTGCAGTTGTCTGTGTGTCACTGTATCGGGTCGACTCCCGGTCCCGCACCTTGATTTGAGGACCCAGCTTTGTGCGAGTGGCCGTAAAGAAGTGTAGTGCATCTGGACCACGGCCTCCATTCTTGGTGTCTTGTTTGCGGCGCCCTAGAGCACATTGCGGGCACCATGCCTGGATGGTAAATGCATGAGCCGGTGCCGCTCTCTCTCTTCGCTGCACACATTCCGTGTTGGGCTCGGGGTGTGCTGGCGGCGGCCCCTGCCTCTAAGTTTTCACCTGCGCCCGTGTTGGCAGCTAGGACTTCGCTGCCGATGATTTGTTCTTTGCAATGTCCCTCTGTTGAAAAAAATGCACGTACAGACTTTTTCTAATGTTACTGCATGTGCCCTTTTCCGGCTTGACTCTTGTTGACACATGCATGCATGTTCTGTTCTTCTGCTGCTTTTTACATGGAGCATGAGCATTCCATTTAGGTGCGCAAGCATCGAGCTCAAGCACGGAGGGTGTCAAGCAACCACAATAAGCCCTGGATTGGCTCTTTGTCCTCTTGTTCTTGTAAGAGATGTGCACTGCAATCCATGTTGCCAGCCTTGATGGGACCTTGCCGCGTCGAACACCACGTGGGCACCGCGCAGATCCTCGACAAGATGTCGTTTGTGATTCCGCCCACCTGCAATTGGTCCTCGCCTCCTGCGGTGCGTCCCACCCAGTGGCAGGACTGTGTCGGCGAGTGGGGGCACGCACAGGGACACTGTGGGCACCCGTGTCCACCTCGGCTTTCACCGCCAGGATCCGTAACTTGTCGTCGGAGCACCCCCGGCTTTACCGTGGCGGCACTTTCCGCGCCTGAGGCGGAGGGTTCTGCAGAGATTTGTGAAGACGTGTCGTCGGCAACTGCGTTCATTCTTCGCTTCTGCTGGCCCTTTCCTTTACCATTGACATTGAACCAGCAGTCCTTGACTGTGTGGCCGGTGCGAAAGGATCGGGCACTTGTCTTTTTCCCTGTTGCCTGGGTCGTTTCCTTTCCTTCTTGTCGCCCTTCCCGCCTTTCTCGTCTTTTCCTTTGCCTCCCTTCTGGCCGTCCTGGCTCTTACTCCTTTGCCTTCCCCAATTTGTTACCAACGTCCGTGGCATCGAGGTTGTGGCTTTCGGCCGTGCTGCTCTAGGCACTCTCGGATCCCATTTCGTTCCCTAGTGTTCACCCCGCAGGGCATGGGTAGAGCCAGGAGAAGTTTAGTGGCAAAGGTGGATTCCCGTTGTTGACAACAGTCCTCTCGGCATTAGGCCGAACGCCCTTGTGCTTTCAGCACTTCCCGCAAAAATTCACTCCGTCCGCTGCATGGCCCCAAAGTCGAGGCCGTGTGAGAAAAAAACATGTTTTGCAACTAACACACGGCAAGCGTACTGAGAAGTGCTAAGAAGCAGGACCACAACGACGGCATTCCAGTTTGCCAGTGCTCAAGCGGTACCATGAAATGTTCTATTCACAAGCCAGGTGTGGTTGCACTGCAGAATGTGCTGCACAAACAGTCACAAGTACACAAGCAACACGACCCTTCTGCAAACACTGGCAGCCAGCACTGCAGATTGGCTGGCATGGGCGCGGCGTCGGAGGGCGCGTGTGCCACGTCAAAGCCAGCAGCAATCAAAAAAGATTGCGCTTGAAGGTGCAGAACACAATCAAGCTTGCAGGCACCAATAGCCCCGATCTCGACAAAAGTATTTGTCACAAACCATGAGAGAAAAATGAAAGAGTTCTTGATTGAGGTCTCTTGTGCTACCCCATCGTTCCTTCAGGGTGTCCTGCGTTCCTTTCTGAATTGAGCACTTGAATCCCCCGGTCCATCTGTCAGCTGTACAATATGTCGTTTGACAAGCACCTTGCTTATCCTGGGTTCATTTCATTTGTCCTGCCCTTGTAGAGTACAGTTTATCCGCTTTGCAAGGTTCCAGACAAAGTCAAGACCAAGGACTGCTCAGTTGAGGGGCGAGTTGCTGAAACTATGTCATGCTCATGGCTGTCGTTTGCTTGGTGCTGATTTTCTTTCAAAGCTGTTGCGAAGCAGGCGCGACAGCACAGTCTTCCAAACTGGGTCCAATGTATCCGAAAAGGCTGGTGCACACTGGTGTTGAGCATCATGGCTCAGCATGGTGATGTGAGCGGAGGGTACACCTCACTGAGGACATGCCCGGACATGTACTCCTCGACATGCAAGCCTTGCCAGATTGTCAAGCAAACACAGTTTGGCACCGCACAGGCAACACCAACCAGATTCCACTTGATGGTGACTCCGTTTGCTTCGGTAGTCTGTCCTTGCCGATTTCATTACCGAGTTTCACAGGAACCTGACGTGGACCCTTTGGAGGCTGAGCAGGAGCGCATCAAAAAAATGCCAGCCCGCTCCTAAGATCGGAAAGCACACTGATTTCGCGAAGGGCACTGCGAATCATAGGTCTTGGGACATGCGGGATGTCCAAGTTCGAAGAGCACGACCACGACAGATTCGAGTGTTTTTTCACCAGTGTGTCTTTGCTCTCAGGTGAAGGAGCTGAAGGCATACCTCGACAGGCCTGCCGATGTTTAAAATTAACTTGACAGTCGGCTTCTGGATCAGGATGTGTAGGCCAGAGTCAGCGCCGTTACGCGGATGCAAGCCCTGGTGAGTCACAGAACCCAACTGCAAATTCATCGCGAAGCACATCCGAGAACTGCAGGGAAGTGCATGCAGGGGGAGGTGTCTGAGGAAGATTCAGCTTGCAGCACGCTCACAGCATAAGGAACCGAAGCCCCAATGCTCCTCAAACCTGCACATGCAATCCGAAAGCCATCGCGATCCGGCATGCTCCGAGGACATCAGCCATTATGCAGCTGAAGGTTTCAGGGTCGAGCCTTCTTCACTTGAATCACGGGTGAAGTCAGGAATCCTTCGATCTGGACTCCGGACCCCTTTCGCCCCCCGCATGCCAACAGGCTCAGGAAAGCTCTAACAAGGACAGTCTTCGTGTCTACTAGCGTGGACTCGAGCGGTTCCAGTGAATGCCGAAGGGCCAGCGCCAGCGCCAGGTCAATGTGGCAAACATGGCACTAAGGTAGTCGCAAATGCATTTTGTTGACTAAAATAAATCTCGAATCAGCACTCAGGGAAAGGGAAGGTCATGAGGCAGGAACTTCCCTGAGGCACAATACCTCTCATGCCGATCTCTTCGAGAAGCCGGATCTCCTTGCTCGCGCACTTGAGGCAACGAAGGCTTTGACAAACTTGTGGCTATCCGGGTCTTGCAAATAGTTTCAGCGAAAGTATGGAAAGGACGATAGCCAGTTTTTCCTCGTCAAGATCCTGGCAGGTAGCATTGAAGTCAGGGCCGGAACCACCACCTGGACCAGCATGGATGAACCTCGGCCATGTTACTGTAGGAAATCAGCTCGATCTCCTGCTTGCGAAACCGAACGCCAGAGTCGGTTCCTCCAATGTAGGCATTGAAACACCGCATCAACTGTACGATGGTGAAACCTGGTTGTTGAAATTGCCTTGCAGCGGGTCTTGATGCCGGCTCATCATCCTTAGCTATGCTACTAGCTACCGACAAGGTGAGATGTAGGATGTTTGTGCAAGGCTTGCAGACTGGAAGCTGTGCTTGCACGTTGGCATCAGTGCAGTCGCCATCATGATGCACCACTCCTGTCAGGTTTGCACGTTCGGGGATCAATTGTATGGGAAGAGCCTGCGTGACAGGGACGATGTCCGAGCAACCACCAAACATACATACATTCCAAGTTAGATTGTGATTTCTGTGACATGCTCAATACTGTTGGGTGCTTGTGAGGAAGTCGGGCGACATTTGCCGCTTGTGTGGGAAGCCGCAGATGCAGGTCATCGGAAGAATTGTGAGAGTTTTTGGTTGATGTCTTGTATTCTTGAGTGTGATTGAGGTGCTACTTTGACGCATGCATAATGTGTAGAAATCAGACTCTAGTCAACGACAATGCTGCGCATACATGCATCTGTCAACTGTGCTAAATAATGGGTGCCAGTCTCTACTCACATCTTCTGCTGAGTGCGTTTCATTCTCCTTTGTCTGTCGTCTACATTCATGCGATAGCTATCGCAATGTGGCAGAAAACAAGGAGAGGGTCATCCGGTGACAGGTGGGTTCCAGAGCGAGCAAGCAAGCATGAAGCCAATGCGGACCCTGAGCTCGCAATGCCTCCGGTGCACGCCCAATGTTTGCAGTCAACTTTAAAATGATGAGCTGGTTTCATGATCAGCATCGACGAAGCCAAACAAAACCAAGAGTGGTGGACTTGCTGAAGTTCCTAGGCAGAAAACAGTCTATTTCCAAGGTTGCTGGCAGTCGCCATCCGGTCTCGATCCATGTCATAAAGCTTCTCGCGAAAATTGCTACGTAGTCAGTCATGTTCTCCAGACGTTGGCCGTCGAGCTGAAATTGATGGAAGCCAAGTCTGCAACTGCATTTTTGCAATGATTTTTCACGCAAAGCCTGGAGCCTTCATCGTCATGGCCCTCCGGATGACTTTCGCAGGGGCACTTGGACGACATGCAAGAAGTTGTGGTGCAAGGCCCGAAGATCTGCTATTTCAGGCAAACCTGCAAAAATCGCTTCGGTTTTTTTGGCTTTATGCGCAAAATATGCAACACGTGTATATGTTTGTGCGGAACATGTTGGGACTGGTGTGGGGCGGTGTCGTGGTGTTGAGCTGGTTTTACTGCGTGCAACATGATCTTTTCGAGAGTTATCACGCCCACACGCTGAGTCAGAGATATTTGAGACTTTCCGTTTTTGCATCCGAGATTGAGAAGGCGTCACAAGATCAATGATGCTCGGTCACTCTGGGTGTCATGCTCGGGTGAGTGCTGACCGGCAAGAGTCCGTTCTGAGTTTTAGACACGACATCAAAAGGAACCGATCGTCAAAACATACCCCAAGCTCTGAACCAGAAGCTTTCTTCTGGTACTGAATTCCATTGTGGGCATGCTCGTGTTCAAAAAGTTGAGGGATCCCCTACTTGGAGGCGCCTGGGCTCAAGTTGAAGACAGTGCTTCCAAGTCCTGTGGTCGTCTAAGCTCAAACTGACAGCCGAGCCGGGCAGACTTTTGCGTTGCATGGGTCCTGGCCACACACACCACAGGTATTAGATGTTTCCTGCATTGGACAGCTTCGTGATGGTAGGTTGGTTCTGGTTTTAAGAGAGGAATGACGGAAAGCATTTTGGAAAGAGACTAACAGTGAAGTGCTGACCGGCGGCTGCGGCGTGGCATGCTGTGTACATCTCATTCATTCACATGCCATATGCCATGCGAAGTCGTCTACCATGCTCATTTGGCAATGCGGCATTCATGATCCTCTACGGACCGGGTATGCCAAGCATCCAAAGAGACTGGAACAAGCAGCCAATTTCAGTCGGGATCTCATTTCATGTTTTGCTTTTTCTGCCTGCGCATGAAAGACCAGCAGTTCTCTGTGTTTTTCGAACCTCGCCGACAACACCTTGGCCGTCTGTGCACGCAACATTTTTTGAAGCCACCTGCTTCTTGTTCGAACATCGGGTTGGCATGTTCCGAAGGTGTGAATATGCCGGTTGTGCATGCAAAAGTGTCTGAAGCTACCGGCATGTTGGACAAGAATGCTGAATTGTGCTTTGCCCTGACTTGTTCGCAATGTCGGTCCGTACATGTCTTCATGGAAATCAGCTCGTTATCTCGCAAGACAACCTTATGAGGATGTTCTTAAGTTAAGCGCTTAGCCCTTCGCATGAAGCCCAATGAAGCCGAGTTGCTCCAGTCGCTGAAGCGATTCGTTCCTGTAATGTGCAGTGTGTTGGGGGAATACCGTAAATCGACTCTAGGCGGCACAGGTCTCAGTCATACTTATTTTGTCAGATCAGATCAAATCGTGGTTTCGTGCACGATGTGTAGAAATTGGCGCTACTTAGCATGCCGGCCACGGGAGTTTGGGAGCCGGTAACCTGCTGTCATTTCCAATTTGTCTTCGTGATGTCCACGAACAAAATCTTTGTCAGAATGCAAGTTGTTGCTTGCAGGCACATGGTTCTGTCTGTCTGTCTTTCTTTTACTCTTTTTTCTTTCTTTCTTTGAAAATTTCACATGTTTCAATTTATTTCCTTCTTTGTTTCGTTCTGTCGTTCTTTCGTTCTATCCCTACCTTCTTCCCTTGAGTTCCCCTGAAAATGCCTATGAAAACAAACAGACAATCAAGGAAAACAGGAGTTCTTGCTATTATGCTATAAAGAACATATAAGTTTTTCCTAGAAAATATAGCGAATATAGAAGCTTTCCCACCCCCCCTTCACCAAAAAGAGTGAACAAATTGGGTCCCCCTTTTTTTTGAAGCGTGCAAGCTTGCTTCACCGCACATAAGTCTTTTGAAGCCCATCATGCGAGCGTTCTGTTTGCAAATTTGGGGGATGCGCACCCCCCCCAACCCCCCTCCGCCTTCTTTAAGCCGTTCAAGCATTCTGTTTCCAAATGAAGGGGGCTGCAGCCCAACCACCCTCTTTTTTGAGCCGCGCAAGCTTGCTTCAAAGCATATGAGTCTTTTTTGAAAGCCGTCATGCGAGCATTCTGTTTGCAAATTTAGAGGGTTGCGCCCCCCCCCCAACCCCCCTCCACTTTTTGCAGCCGTTCAACCGTGCTTCAAAGCATGCGAGTGTTTGGAATCCTATCATGTGCGCATTTTGTTTGCCAATGGGGAGGCTGCGCCCTTCCCAACCCCATTCTGTTTGCAAATGAAGGTGTTTCAAGCCGCGCAAGCTTGAGTCGAAGTATTTGAGTTTCCTTTGTGTTTGCTGCGCCTCCCCCGCAAGCCCCCCCCCTTCCGCCCATGAAAATCTCGGAATACAGAGGTTATCCTATGAAAATATTAAAAAAATAGAAAAGTACTTTGCAACAGATAGAGAAATTAGGAAGTAGGGTTTGTTTCTGTTATGAAATATCGAAAAAGTAAAAGTTCTCCTAAGACAAAGTTTTGTTATCAGAATACAGACAGCGACAATGCAGGTTTTCATTTAAAATGTAACGAAAATACAGGTTTTCCTGTGGAAGTACAGAGAGCCACCCCCGCCCCCCAACAATCTCCGCTTCCTCATTTCGCAATGAGGCATTCATCATCCTCCACGGGCCGGGTATGTCAAGCATCCAAAGACACTCAGAACGGCCTTCATTCAATGCTCCCTAGAACAAGCAGCCAATTTCAGTCTGGGTCTCATTTCATGTTTTGCTTTTTCTGTGTGCACATGAAAGACCAGCAGTTCTCTATGCCTTTCGAACTTCGCCGGCGACACCTTCGCCGTTTGTGGATGCAACATTTTCTGAAGCGACCTGCTTCTTGTCCGAACATCGGGTTGGCATATTGGACAAGAATGCTGACTTGTGTTTTGCCTTGACTTTGTTGCAATGTCGGTCCGTATATCTCTTCATGGACATCAACTGCACGGTGTGTGCAAAGTGGCGCTACTTGAGTATGCCGGCCACGGGTGATTTGGAGCCGGTAACCTTCTGTCATTTCCAACTTGTCTTCGTGATCTCAGTGATATCAAAGAGCCAGTTTACTTCCAAGTGCGCTGCATGTTCCATTCTGCAGGATGAAGGTGGCGTCTTCTGCCGACGAAGACGGCTCCTGGGCTGTCATGTGGCCATGAAATTTCACAGTTGCACCGACACCATGCCAGTTTTTGCGAGAATGCAAGTTGTATCTTGCAGGCAACACTTGATACATCGCATGCAAGTGTATCTAACTCAAGCATGTCGTCTGGCAGCCCGCTAGACGAATGGCCGTGAATCAAGCTGCAAAAGCTATTCAAGTGTCAGCAGGCAAGACGGCAGGATCGCCGGCTGCGGAGAGGCCATCTGCTGGCGGCTTGCAACTGAGTGGGCCGTCGCCCTGTGCTTGTCAGTATCATGTCACGTTGCAAGCACATGCCTAGACTTACGCCTCATTTTTGTTTTTTCACTGTTTCGCTTCTTGTCTGGCAAGGTGCATGAAGCGAGCAACTGCCCCAGAAATCTGGAATTGTTCGTATCTCATGCGAGCCGTGAATGGTGTTGGTGGTATGTCGTAGCCGCTTCACACGTCAGGCACCCAAAGATGCATTTGGCAAAGTGCGATGCACAAAGGAAGAGCCGTGACCCCGGACCGATGGTGTGCCAGTGTTGCAAACTCAAACTCTATTACACATGAAGGAAGCGCTGCCTTTTTGCGAAGACTCTGCCGATGTCATTTTGTGAGCTGCGGAGCTTGCTTGCGCGTCTTCAGCGCACTACCAGCATGCCCCACACGTTTGGGTAAGCACTAGTTTGCTGTGCCGTCTACTCTTTGTTTCCACTTGGTCACCATTGCGTTGCTTCGTCGTGTTGGGCACATGCACTTGTGTAGGAAGGTCGAGCAGTGTGAGTCGTGAGAATGTATGGATGGCACCGCTCCCCAGGTTTGCTGGCCTGGGCCAGGACTGATCTGACAGCGCTTCCCCCAACAAACTTAAATTCAAGAGAAGCGCGGTTTGCTACCCAAATATGAACTTGCACATTGGGAGTTAGCGCTTTTGTCTTGCCACAACAATGAATTCGCACGGCCACGATTGCTAAGAAGATAGTGAAGCCTGTATGTCTTCCAGGATGCTTGGTGGATGCATCAGCATTGCTTCGAGGATGGAGATTGGCAGGCCTGTACTATTGAGAATCATGCAGGTATTGATATTTGACCTCGTTTGTGCATCTATAGCTGTCAACGTGTAAATCCACTGCCCAAAGATGCCTTGGTATTAGTCACTCAAGCACAGAATTCTCTCAGACACCGTTGCAAGCTTGACATACCCACCACCAGGATTATTTTGGCGAACCTGAACCAGAGGAAGAACGATGGCGGCGAACAGGAGAATCGAATTGGTGACCCAAAGGATCATGACGGCAGATTTTATTTGCTTTGCATGTTTCGAAGAAAATAATATTAGATTGCAAAACCTGATAGGACCCACGAACCCGAATGCGGTTACGCCTCCCTTTGTGTTTCCTACTAATCCCCTACTAGCGGTGGAAACTCGCTGCTCGCATGGCAATCGCGCGCTTGGCAAGCGTCCGCAAAGCGTCCGAAGCCGCCGCTAGGAAAGAGTTGGTGGCAGGCTCGGATGCTGTGGTGCTTGCTTTGCAAGTTTTGTTTGGGCGGGTCCTGAGCAGAACAAGTTTCGCCGGAGAACCGTGCCCGCCACAGCGATGTGCGCTGGGGGTGTTCATCTCATGGCGTCCGCGCCTGAAATGCTGTTTCAGCGACCTGAAACACAGTTTTGGAAGCTTGCAAGGCAGCTGGGTGAGCGAGATGGGATACTGTGACAAAAGCTTCGAACAGGTTTTAATCACACCTGAATCTGCCTAAACTTCCACAACTGTGTTTCAGGTAGCTTGAGCAGTGTCTCAGGAGAATCGTGCCCGCCACAGTGATGTGCGCTGGGGGTGTTCATCTCATGGTGTCCGCATGGTGTCCGCGCCTGAAATGCTGTTTCAGCTACTTGAAACACAGTTTTTAGAAGCTTGCAGGCAGTTGGGTGAGTGGGGTCTCGGATGCTGTGACACCAGCTTCGAACAGGTTTCTTTAAACAGCGTCTCAGGAGAATCGTGCCCGCCACAGTAATGTGCGCTGGGAGTGTTCATGTCATGGCGTCCGCACCTGAAATGCTGTTTCAGCTACCTGAACACAGTTCTGGAAGCTTGCAAGGCAGTTGGGTGAGTGGGGTGTCGGATGCTGTGACACTAGCTTCGAACAGGTTTTTGTTACACCTGAAACTGCACTGGCGAGCTTCCAAACTGCGTTTCAGGTAGCTTAAACAGCGTCGATGTGCGCGAGCACCTGAATCTGCCTAAACTTCCACAACTGTGTTTCAGGTAGCTTGAGCAGTGTCTCAGGAGAATCGTGCCCGCCACAATGATTTGCACGGGCGTATTCATTTCTTGGACTGTACCAGGCGATCCTTTTCATGTCTGTTAATGATATGGCAAAAATGACTAGACCTAAAAGCACAAAATTATTAATCTATCTATAATGAAAAGATTTAATTTATCTAGAAAGATGAAAATTATGCACAAGAAAAAAAATGAAACCACAAAAATTTTGATCTTTATTAAATTTTAATTCATGATAACGCTAATTCCGTTATAAATAAGCTAAGACGAGGGATCTTGGAAGATTTTGTTCTTGGTATATATACGATTTTAGGGTCTTACATTATTATGTTCTTTTATTATTTGATGGCTTTTAATTTTAAAATGTTCTAAATAGAAAGATAAAAATTAAAGAGAACTTTAAAAAAAAATAAATATGAATAAATTTGTAGAAATAAAATTTTAAACTTTATATAAAGGAGAAAATATAATTATTTATTTATATATAGTTTTATTATGTTCATATATAATTGATAATAAAGAGTTTTCAATATACATAAGACTAAATAATAATATAATTTTTTTTAAAAAGATATTATTAAATATTCCGAAAATTATTATTTATATGTCTAATATTATTATATTATTTTTTTTTTT